GAGAATTGCTTGAACCCAGGAGATGGAGGTTGCAGTGAGCCAACATGGTCCCACTGCACTCCAGCCTGGTTGACAGAGTGAGACTCCATCTCAAAATAATAATAATAATAATTTCTTTTTAATTCTTTTTTCTTCTTCTTTTTTTCTTAAGAGACAGACTCTTCCTCTGGCACCCAGGCCAGAGTGCTACTGTGCAATCATAGCTCACTGCCACCTCAAACTCCTGGGCTCAAGGGATTTTCCCACCTCAGCCTCCCGAGCAGCTAGGACTACAAGCATGAGCCACTGCCCCAGCTAACTGTTTTATTCTTTTTGTAGAGATGGGGTCTTGCTATGTTGCCCAGGCTGGTCTTGAACTCCTGGGATCACACGATCCTCCGACTTTAGCCTCCCAAAGCACTGGGATTACAGGTGTGATCCACGGTGTCTGGCTTCATCTCTTTACAACCAGTCAGTTTCAGCGATTCTGTTATAAGCAACAGAAAATGGACTAAGACACAAGCCAAGCACAGACCAGTGGTTATACGAAGGAAACAGGTGGTAAAAAAACAAAACAAACAAGCTGCTCCAGTCTGTGGGATCAGGGCAAGGGAAATAGGAACAGTTCCCACTGGGAACAACTCTCAGAGCTCTGGAGATACAAGAGGCAAGAGCCTCTCTAGAAGGAAGCACCATGGGGAGCTGTCCCCAGCCTCGGTGCTGCCTAATAACTTATTTACCAGAGAGACACCTCTCCAAGGGCCTCCAGCACATCTCTGATTTTTGTGGAAGGCCACCCACAAATCAGAGTCATGGAGCAGAATGATGCTGTGGCTCTTGGGCAGTAGAGGGGTGATGCCTGGTTCAAGAGGGAAGCAGGAAGTAAGTCCAGGTCAGCCGACGATGGCATCTTTCTGGAAGGTCCCAGGGCTGGTTGGTCAGGCCCCAGAGAAGCTCAGAGATCACCCCTAGGTTCCCTGTGCAATCAGGAAGCTGCACTGTGCTTTTGGCTGCCTGTAATTTGGGTTCCAAAATCAAGTTCCTCCTGGCGTTCTTGTCTCCCTTCTTTTCCCTTTCTTCCTTAATTTTTTTTTTT